CTTTCTTTCTTTCTTTCTTTCTTTCTTTCTTTCTTTCTTTCTTTCTTTCTGCCCACTACTCTACGCGGATCTACGGTGGATGGTGGGAGACTGTGTGTGGGTTGTTCTGTAGGCCTCCGGGCGGCGCTGACTGACGGTCATGGAACTACATGTGGTGCCGGGCCCGGAATCGAACTCGGGTTCTCGGGCAGAGCGGTCAGGCGCTCTGCCTCCTGAGCCGTCTCTCCGGCTGTCACTTTTGCTTTCTAAAGAGACAGCATCTCACTGTTGTAGTCCATGTCAGGATTACAGACATACCACTGGGCTAGCTAGATTCACAGACTCTTCTTTCTTCCCACCATACTTTCACACACTTATTAATTAAAAGTATGTAATTAAACATTCTATGTCTTGGCCATGAAAGCCTCTAACTGAGGAATCTTCCTCTCTCTGGGATTTGGAAAACCCACTTCATTCCCTGTCAGTCTCCTTGGTACTCCAAGGTTCCTATATTTGGGATGTTTGTTTTCCATGTATACAAGGTCAGATAATGAAGAAAAAAACTGACATAAAATAACCATATTTATTTATTTAAAGACAGGGGTCTCTATGTAGTTCTGGCTGTCTTGGTCACTCTGTAGGACCAGACTGGCCTTGAACTCAGAGATCTGCCTGCCTCTGCCGGGATTAAAAGCATGCGCTACCACCACCCAGCATGCCCATGCCTCTTGCTTTGCAGCAGCTCCTGTGCCCCGCAGCTTCTTTAGCACATGGACATTTCTGTCACAGTCCAGGACTCCAGCTGTTACTTTCTTTTCTTGTCACTGTGACAGACCATTAGCAGAGACAACTTAAAGGATGCATTTGGGCGCCAGGTTTGAGGAGCTATAATCCGTGCTGGAGTGGGGGGTATGGGGGAGGATGATGTGGAAGAGAGGATAGAGAGGGGAGGGCGTGAAGGGGAGAGTATGGAGGGGAGTGTGTGGGGATGAGGGTGTGAGGTGGATGGTGGGGGGATGGTATGGAGGGGAGAGTGTGGAGGAGAGGGTGGGGGGGATGGTGTGGAGGGAGGGTGTTGGGGGGAGGGTATGGGAGGATGGTGTGGAGGGGAGGATAGAGGGGGATGGTGTGTGCAACATGAAAGGCCGGGCCTGCTTGTTTGTGTTTCTGTCCTGCCCTGCCCCCCAGTTGTTTAGTCCCAAAGAAAAATCACACTGAGATCTCTATAAGTTATAAAGCTGATTGACCCTTTAGGTCAGGCTACTTATTAGCTAACTCTCACATCTTGATTAACCCATTTTTCTGATCTATGTTAGCCATGTGGCTCAGTACCTTTTTCAGCGGGGCAGCTCACATCCTGCTGCTTCAGTGGCCTGGGCAGGAGAGGGAGGAATCAGCTTCCTCCTTCCCAGAATTCTCCTGCTCTCCTTGCATCATTTCCACTTCCTGTCTGGTTTTCCCACCTACACCTCCTGCCTGGCCAATTAACATTTATTTAAAACATGATTGACAGAATACAGACAATTGTCCCACACCACTTCCCCCTCTTTTTTTTTAAAAAAAAAAAAAACAAAGGAAAATATTCATCGTCCATTTTTTGGGAATGTGGGCATAGTATTCTAGGCTACTTCCAGCTGGTTAAGGGCGCTGATAATCTTATGGGGAACCTAAAGAAAATTTAGGGTTATAATCAAGTCCTGACTGAAGTATCCTGTGAGTCTTGATCATCTCAGGCAGCAGTCTTGAACCTGTCCTGGATGAAGAACTCCGACATCTGGGCCATCTGTTCCTACCGGAGATTGCTCAGGTGGTCTCCCTTGGTCAAAGATGATTTTTTCTTAACTCTGAATAAATCCAGAGCCTCTCATTTTCTGTGGAAACAAAAGCAAAATCTCTTCTCCAAAGTAACATACCTTTTGACTTCAATTTTGAAGCCAAGGTATTTTCAAAATACCTATCTTGGATTAATTCTGCAGCATTTATAAGCAAATATCTTTTAGCAGCTGTTGCTCCTTCCTCAGCATTTAAACAATTCAAAGAGAGCATAATAGCATACAGAATCAAGATTCTCTGTGTATTTTCCATCTTTACGTGGCTTTATTTTAACCTCTATTTCTTTATTTTTACTTTTAACTTTTGGCTTTTTGAGACAGGTTCTCTGTATATCTTTGTCCTGGAATTCCCTCTGTAGACCAGGCTATCCTTGAACTCCCAGAGATCCGTCTGTCTCTGCCTCCCCAGTGCTGGGATTAAAGGTGTGTACCACCACACCCAACTATTCTCTTTCTTTCTTTTTTATTTTAAGGCTGTAAACATTTTTTTCAAGCCTGCATATATTTTTAACACACTGTAAACCATTTAGAAGTTTTTTTACTCTTTGAATCTCTCTTTACTGTATATCTCTCTTTTTCTGACCACATGGGCCTTTAATTTGCTAAGGAATATAGAGAAGACAACATTCAAAAGCTCCTATGGTATTTCAAGGTCCTTGCCAGGAAGCAAGCTGCAACAATGTTTCCATAGTCAGGACTGCCTGCTTGAAAGAGTCAGAGTTTTCCCTGGCCGGAAGGCCCAGAAAGCTGGCATTTTAAAACAGCACAGGTTTTTTTCCCGCTTCAGCTGAAAACTGAAATGCTTTACTCTAGTCTTTCCCAAGCATTCTCAGACTTTCTGTGGATGCAGTTATCCATGTGGGCACAATTATGTAACATGAGTGGGGCCTGTTTGTTTGTGTTTTTCTGTCCCACCCGGATCCCCCAGCCTGTTTAGCCCCAATAAAAATCAATCACACAGCAGATCTCAATAAGTTATAATGCTGATTGGCCCATTAGGTCAGGCTTCTTACTGGCTAACTCTCACATCTTGATTAACCCATTTTTCTGATCTATGTTAGCCATGTGTTAGTCTTCTGCTGTCACTTTAAGAACTAATCACGCCCACCCCAGCCACTTCTGACCCCACCTCCCCTCGCTGCCATCTTCTCTCGCGTGTGTGCGTGTGTGTGTGTGTGTGTGTATGTGTGTCTTTGTTTTCTCTATGTTTGTCTATGTTTCCCTTTCTTTAAGTAATAAATGTCTAGCTTTATGTATAGCCTTATGTCCATTTACTCTGCCATCCACCACATCCAGCCACCTGACTCTGCTGCTCGCCCGGGGACCTTGACTCTCCCGGCCGCATGGCGCTGCCACTTGCAGCTGCTCCACAAGCTGTCCAGGACATCCCACTATGGTATTATTTTTAAAAAGAACAATAATGTGGCTCAGTACCTTTTTCAGCGGGGCAGCTCACATCCTGCTGCTTCAGTGGCCTGGGCAAGAGAGGGAGGAATCATCTTCCTTCTTCCCGGAATTCTCCTGCTCTCCTTGCATCATTTCCACTTTCTGTCTGGGTTTCCCACCTACACCTCCTGCCTGGCCAATCAGCGTTTATTTAAAACATGATTGACAGAATACAGACAATTGTTTTTGTATCCACAAAAAGCCTGAGAAAGCTTGGAAAAGACTAGAGTAAAGCATTTTGGTTTTCAGCCGTAGCAGCAAAAAAAGCTGTGCTGTTTTAAAATGGCGGCTTTCTGGGCCGTCCTGCCAGGGAAAACTCTGACTCTTTCAAGCAAGCAGTCCCGACTATGGAAACACTGTTGCAGCTTGCTTCCTGGCAAGGACCTTGAAACGCCTTAAGAGCTTTTCAGTGTTGTCTTCTCCATATTCCTTAGCAAATTAAAGACCCATGTGGTCAGAAAAAGAGAGATATACAGTAAAGAGAGATTCAAAGAGTAAGAAAACCTCTAAATGGTTTACTTTCTGTTAAAAATATATACAGGCTAAAGGTTAAAGTTCTCAAAATAAAAAGAAAGAAAGAAAGAAAGAAAGAAAGAAAGAAAGAAAGAGTA